TTGTAATTTATTTTAGTTTAATTAGCCGAATTTTTGCTTTTTTTTATTAAACTATGATAAAAAAAAATAATTTTGAAAACAAAAATGGCATTCCATAATTTTCAAAAGGTTAATTTCTAATTAAATTTTATGTATTTTAGATTCAATTGAAAACAATTTTATTTAAGAATTAAATTAAAAAAAAAATATATAATAAATTTTTTAAATATAAATATTAACAATTATTTTTTTTTTAATAATTTTATTATTATATAATTTTTTTATCTATTATTATTATTTTTTGTTATAATTTTTTTTTTAATTATAGAAATTAATTTGCTTTTTAATTAAAAATTTTACGTAGATCCACGCCTATAATTTAATTTCAAATTTTTTAATATTGCTTTCATTCCTAAATTTGAATTCGATGGAAAATTTTTTGAAAAACGTCTTTGCAATAAATTAACTGAAGCCTGTGATTTCTCCTCTTCATCTTCAAAAATTACATCATGTTGAGATTGAGATTTATTTGTATCTGGTTCTATTTGTAAATTTTGATTATCCTGAAACCATTTTTCAGAATTATGCAATTCTATATTCTCGTTTTTAATTTGATCAATATCACAATCACTTGTTGTTATTCCTTCTTCTTTGTTACTTAGCTCACATTTTATTTTTATCTTTTCATCTTTATAATTTTCTTCAATAATACCTTCTATTCTAAAATCGTCCAAGTTATTTTTTATTTTTGACGATGTTTTATTTATAGATGATACAGTTGATATTGTTTTTGTAACAATTGATACCTTATCACTAAGAAAAACCTCATCACTATCAGAATCGTCAATAATTACTAAATTATTAACATTATACGAAGAATTTACCCCCGTACTATGACTTTTAAAACCAGTAGCTAAATCTTCTTCTGTATGTTGTTGTAAAATGGTATCATAAGCGGAAGTAGATATATCATAATTATTATTATCCAAAGAAGATTTATTTGATTGTGAAGTGTTATAAGAGGAAGAAGAGCTGATTATCGATTTGTAATTGTATAAATTTTTAGTGCTATTTATCACCTTACCTTCAATTGGTAAAATATTTTGCTGATTTTCTACAAAAATATAAAAACACAGGCATAAAAACCAAAAGTAAAACAAAAAAAAACAAATAAAAAATTCAAATAAAAATGAAAAAAAAAAATAAAAAAACAAATAAAAAATGAAAAAAAAAAAAAATAAATGAAAAAATGAAAATGCAGCAAATTTTTATGAATCAATGGTAGATGTTAAACGAATAAGCGTAAAAAAAAATCATAGATACTTAAAAACAAAACAAAACGCAGATATAAGAATTGAACTATCTAAGTTCGAAATTTATAATTAAATATTGTATAGCATTCAATTTGACTGGAAAATGGATATTATAATTAAAATATTAAATTCAAGTGAGATATTTTCTGACTAACAATGCATATTAGCAAAATTTGCAATTTCTAGATAAATTTTTTTTTCAGAATTTTTTTCAGAATTTAATCATTATTTAAATCATATTTTGAACAATACTACATACATTAATACATACTTGAGATTTTTGTAAAGTATTTTTTTTACATTTAAACCCTATTTATTTGTTTCACCCACCCAATTAATATTATAACACTTACTCTTAATTTAATTAAATTGAAATATAAAGAGTACTACAAATGTTTGGGCTGAACAGACTCTGTTATATATACTTTATATAGGTTACCATTTATAAACTCCAGATAAAGCATTGTTACACAGATTTATTTATCTTTACTTGATTTTAGAATTCCAAATAAATTAAGATTTTCACTTTATCAAATAAAAAAAAAAATTAAATTAAAACTCAAAATAGAATTAAGAAACAAAAATAAAATAAAAGTTAAATAATACTATTTTAAACATACAAACAATATATAAAAAATGAATTAAAAGCCCAAAAATTCTTTCCAATTATTTTAATTAATTGTTTTTATTTTGTTGTTTTCCTAACTAAAAAGATATTCTTATAAATTTATTTTTTTATTGTTTAAAATTATTAAATTATTAAATTTAAATTAATATACATATGTATTTTAATATTTATACACGTTTACATTTTGTATTACATTATTAAACACACGATGCATCAATCGTATGTATCCGAATTATTAAGAAAGGATTTTAAAAAAAAAAGGATATAAACGTGTATAAGCACATATAAAATATTTATAATTTACATATATAGGTATAAACATATAAACAGAAATGAAAATTAAATAAATTCAATTTTTTCAAATGTTAAAAATGAATAATAAATTTAAAGAATTTCTTTTATATAAAAAAATTAGAAAAAAAATACATGTACCTGTATATAATTTATATATATGTTTTATATATATATATATTTGACAATATATATACAATTTCAAATACAAGAATTCAAAATTAATTAAAATTTTTAATCTTATTTTGCAATCATAAATTACAAGGTAAGGTAAAAATTTAAAAATAATTTTAGTAAAGCAGATTAAAAAAAAATATCTTCATATGCAATTATATTTATAATTTCTTTTCGGCAAAAAAAAGTCAAACTTATGGAATATAAAAAAAATTTAATTTTTTTAATAGAATAAAGAAATAAAAATTATTCTTTAATAATGAAGGTAACTTAGTTAAGCCTCGTGAACGAATGCAATTAAAACATTCACCCATACTCTGTTAGTAGTATCACTTCAGGTGATGATAAGTATGTTATTAAAAACAATTTTGTATTTCAATACAGAATTTCGAATTTTGGAATAGGCTTTATTTTGAAAATTACAAGTTTTTAAAAAAAAAAAAAAATACCTATCGCGTCAGTTAATGCAGTTAACAGAACATTGGTGATTGTTTTTTTTTTTATTATTATTAAAATACCTAATTTAAAAAGTTTTATACAATTTTATTTATACAAAAAACTCCACTCAAAACTTCACAACTAACAATTTTCATTTCATCAAGTTTTATTCAAAAAATAGAATACAACTTTTAAAAACTGTTTTATTAAAGGATTTTGTGTCCAAATTTATTAATAATACAAATTTCTTGCTGTTATATTTTCTATTATTACTGATTTAATATGAAATTATTCTCCATGTCTCTGTATTCTGATCTTCCTAATGTTAATTTTAATATAGAAAATAAAGCATGTTTGCATTTAATGAATTATAGTCGAGAATAATTTATTTTTACAAAATTTTTCAAATTAAAGATATGAAATTCACTTTTTGAAATTATCCAAATTAAATTTTTGTATAATAAATAATTTAGAATAAATATTATTTCAATTTTCTTCAATTATGATTTCTATTGATTAAAAATGTTTACAGCAACAAAAAAAATTTGATATTAGAACGATTTATATATATTTATGTATTGCATCCATTATTAATTAGAAAACATTACATGTTTCAAAATAATAAAGGTCAAACTTTTGATGTAAAATGATCAAAATAGACTTATTCACCGTAAGTAAAAAAGTCTTATACCGCATTTTATTTAATTTATTGTACTAATTTCAAAATATTAGACAACAAATTTTCAATGTATTATAGGCCTAACAAAAAAAATTATTTTCTATTAAATTAGTATTAATCCTGCTCATAATGGTTAATAAACATTTTAAGTATATTATGATTTATGTCTATTGAAATTACAATCTCATTTTTAATAATAAGTAGAATTTATATTTAGAAAAAATTACAAGATAAGACAAGATTTTCATGAAAAATTATTTGTAGAAATGTTTGAAATAAAATTTGAAAGTACATTTAATAAAAATTGCATTATAAACATTTATTGTAAAATAAGTGTTTTAATCCCACTAGAAAAAGTGTAATAATTTAATTACTTAAACGTTATAATCGAAGTATGTAGTTAATATAAATGAAATTGTTAAAAAAAGTACAAATATACTTTGTTTTATAAATCCTCTTTAGTTATGGGTCGTATCTCAATCTATGACAAAGTAATGATAACCGACTAGGAGTTTAGACTATAAGTAATTAAAGGAGAAAGTTTTTGTAATTATAAATATAAAAAAAAAGTTGAAATTGCAAATTAAATAATATTGTATTTTTATAAATTTTATTTTATAAACATTATTTGTTAAGAGATTATTTTGCTTTCTAAAAGCTCTTTTGTTGTATATTTTCAATGTTTAATTAAATCAAATATATATACGTATACATATTTATGTATAAGTTGAATAATATATATATGTATATACATAATATTATATATATATATATTACTATATATAACACATATATATATATATAAACTTATCTTTTTTAAACATAACAAGCATTTCTGGATATTTTATTTTAATCATTACAATAAAAATAGAATTTAATAATTTTAATACAAATTAAAAAAGGGGAAAAATAAGATCAAGTATTCATATCGCAAATAACATGAGAACTACTTAATATTAAAAAAAAAAAGTAAAAAAACAAAATTAATATTAATTCTAAATAATATCTTAAAATAATCATATATATATATATATATTATTTTTATATATATATATATATATATATATATATAGAAATAATCCTTATTAACTAGCAACATTAATTTATAAGAATATAGAATTGAAAATGTGTGCATGTATCTAATAGTAGCCATATAAATATTTTTTAATTTAAATTTATCTTATTACATACAACATTTATTTTTGATTTGAATACCACAAATTTATAACATTTTCCATTTATTACTCTAATTTTATGAGAACTATAAATATTTATATAAATATATATATAGATATATGCATGTACATATATGAATTTGTTATTTATATATGTATATACATATATTTTTATAATTATATTTTATTTTAAAAATATTTTATTAAACTAAAAATTTATTAAAAATTGTAGTCCCTGTTTTACTAAAACTGTTATTTTATTGTGCAGACGATAATATAATATTATATCAAATTAACAAGATAATTTAAATAATGAGAGTTGGCATGACTGGAATATTATTAATTTATTAAAATAAATCGTACATGCATTAAATTCTAAATTTTTCATTTTCATTTTAAATCAAAATATTTTTTTTTTAATTTTATTACCAAATTTAAGAGTTATTCCAGTCACAGTAACTAAAAAATTAAAAAGGAAAATTAATGTGAAATATTAAAGACAATTATAAATGATAAGAGCAAAGCTACAAGTTTTTGTTTTTTATTTCTATTAAAAATTTCTTTTTAATATTATATTACAATTAGATCTATGGAATAGAACCTCGTTTGAAGATATTAGTAGTAGAAGTAGTAGCAGATGTGGTACTAGTATTACTGCTATTATTCATACTAGATGAATTTAATCTCATATCGCTTATATCATTTAAACATTTTTTCATGTGACCAAAGTTAAAGGGATTTTCAGATGACTGCTGTGACGGAGTGGATGTTGTCTGAAAAGGTGAAGAAGATAAGGCTTGTACTTGAAGAACGTTTTGATTACACTTTTTCGGTTTATAATCACTTTGGTTTGTAGGATCAAAAAACATTTTTGCGTCAAGCTCATCAATAGAAGGAGATCTTTCTGTTCGTCCTAAACTAGATATTTTACTTTCATTTTCGAAATAATTCCTAAGATTAATAACTGATGGATAATTTATCGTTGAATTCTGTTCTGATTGTATTTCTTCCAAAATTTTATTAGAAATATTTTGAGGTGTTTTGATATTAGATTTTGTTCTTTCATTATTATCCTTTTCAACTTCATTTGCATTATTATCAGATTTATAAATTTTTTTACCTTCATCCGATTCGAATGTAAAAAAACCTATTGAACTTGTATTTATAGGTTTAGCTACAATCGTAGGTGTTTTTATAATTTCATCTTCCAAAGGATTTTCATCAATTAGTTTAAGATGTGAAATAGATGCTGGAGAGGTTCCAATTCCACTGGCAGTCCCATAAGATCCAACAAATGATTGAGGACTTTTACTTATAGGAGATGTACCAAAGCTTAATTGACGATCACATAATGATGAATAAAAATCAACAGATTCAACTGATTTTGCAAGTTGATTACAACTGTTAGATGAACCTCGTTTCATTTTTATATTATTTACATTACCACAATTAACTTGTATTTGATGATCTACGTTTAAAATTTCATTATCATTTTTTAAATCACATTTTTCATTGCAACATTTCTCTTCATCATCATTTTTGTCTGAAACAGATATTTCTTTATTTTCTAAATTTTCTGATTCAGGTTCACATTCAAGATTTTCCGAGAAACTGGTATGTAATAAATTTTTTAACAATACATCTTGATTTTGAGATTTTCCCTCTACTTTATTTAAATTTGTATCAGTAACAGTTACCAAAAGATTTTTGGACGAATTTGATTTTGTAGCTTCTTTTTTTAACAGTAAGCTGTTTTTATTGATTGATTTAATGTCTTCGACAACCACAAAATCATTTAAATAATTATCTGAAACCAAACTTTCATTCGATATTTTGTATATATTACTAGTTTTGCTACTATGTCGAAATAAAGCCCTTTTACTATTTTTACGTGGTTTTTTAAAGTGATTACGAAAACTAGAAAATTTGAAATTTTTACTAAATTCTGGATCTTTTTTTAAATGAAAACTTTGTAGCCATATTTTTAATTTATTTCGTTTTTGGGGATTTTTATCAAAAGGTAGTTTGCCAGCTACACCCCCAGTTGATACTAAGCTTTGTGACGAACAATAAGATTTTGATAGTGTTGGAGCCGAAGGAATAAAAACTGAAGTACTTTTAAGTGAATTAGGTTTAAGAAACAAATCGCCTTCAACGTTAGATGTACTAATTGTACCAATACAAGGTTCATTTTGAATTTTACAAGTTTTTGAATTCTTTTCTGTTGTATTACTTTTATGAATAGAGTTTATATTTTCCAATAAAATTTCGTTTTTTTTAATTTCTTCAACATTTCTAATATTTTCTGCTGTTTCTTTTTTTTTCTCTTTGTTTTGCATTAAGTTAATGTCTTGCTTAAAACTAAAAATGTTGCTATTCGCACTATCACTAATAACATTACTACTACTACTTCTACGACTACATAATTCACTACCATCATCGTTAGTCGTTCTACTGATAATTTTAAAATTGTTACTATTGTTTGATTTATTTTTAAAATTTAATTTACTAAAATTAGAACTGTTTAACAAATAATTATCGTTAGATACTATTGAAGAAGTGAAAATTTTATCTGTGTTTTTTAAATTAGGCAAAATTGAACTTGTACTTGTAAACATTGTTTCAGGACTGGCGTATGAATAATCATTACTTCTTTGAATAGAAGTGGAAGATGGTTCCATATAATTCAAATTTTTTACGTTACTTTCTATTGTTTCATGATTTCTAATATTACTACAATAATTATCGTTACTAATTTTATGTATCATTATACCACTTTCCTCATTGTGAATATTATCTAATGAGCCACTACATTCCGCCATCATCGGTGTAATTGTTATTTGATTTAACGATTCATTTGAATCTTTTTTTAATGAATCATGTTGAATATTAACACATTTTTTACTAATATTATTATCACTTATATTTAATGAATTTAAATCATTATTTTCGTTTAATGCATTTTTATTAATTTTATTATTAAATTTTCTTTTAATGTTTGATGTAACTTGGGAACAATTAAATAATATAACGTCTGCAGAAGAAGTAGAATTATTAGTATTAACTTTAAACTCACCAGATTCCCAATCTTCGCCAATACAAGCCGATGATGAAGCAGCGCTACTTATGCTTATACTACTGCTGCTATTACTGCTACTTTTACTAGTGTTACTACTTGTGCTGTTTGTTCGGGACTCATGTTGCTGTTGGAGATGTTGTTGATTAGAAGAAATAGCCATTGATTTATTGGAGGACGGTTGTTCTAAATATTGTTGCTGCAATTGTTGTTTTGATAACTTTCCAGGATGTTTTAAATTATTTTTACTATTTTGTTGTTGTTGGTGGTGTAAAATTTGTTGCTGCTTTTCATGTAAAGTCTGAGATAACTGACTTTGTTGTTCTTGCTGTGTCCGTTGTTGCTGTTGTTGTTGCTTTTGTGGTGAAATAACAAGGGATGAAGATAATTTTAACGATAAATTTTTATTTTTGACAGAAATTGTACTGTTGTTGCTACTATTTTGTGTTCCTGGTGCTGGTGGCGAACTTGTTATAGAATTTATATTCATTGGTCCTACAGAATTCATATTTCTATTTTGTTGCTGTTTATATTGATTTTGATTTGTTGGGAAAGCATATTGTTCTTGCTGCTGCTGTCGCTGATGTTGTTGTTGTCTAATAGCTAAATTTGTATTATTTATTGAATTACTACTATTGTTATGGTTTTGTTGTTTTAATGGTTCTATAACAGGCTGAATATCCATTTGTGAATGATGACCTGTACTAACATTATCAACGATATAATTGCCCCCACTTAGGGCAGAATTGTTATAAATATTACCACAATGATTATTATGGTCGTAATTACTATGCACAGACGTATTCATAACAAGATTATCTGTTTTATCACCACAAGCATTTACATAACTATTTCGAGACGGAATTGTTTGAAAAACTAACTGCACCTAAAATTTTAATGAAATATGATAGAATATAGTTTTGATTTTGAATTAAAACAAACACTGCAATTACCGAAAAATCTTCAGCAAATGTCTTATTCTCCTTATCCTTATGCGCATCATCAATTTCATTTTTCTTAAATTCGTAAATAATTTTTGTATCATCACCATGACCATGTCGTTCTAAAATTTAAATATTTCACTAATTATAATTTAACTGTGATTATTATTTCTTTTTATATAATTTACCGCCTTCTTCGTCAATGAAATATACATTAAACCAAAGATGAAGCATAGTTTTTTTAGTTACTTTATGAGATAATTCAATTCTAACATCGCCAGTCACTGGTATACATCGATCCGTAATTTCAACATTTGAAGTTTTACGAAAATCTATGGCAAAATTTTGAAGAGTCTAAAAATTCAAAATATTTAACTACATAAATATTTGCTATAACAATAAAATTATCAAAATATATACCTTGACTTTATCAGGGCAAGACGGATCATCTAACGTGCTTAAACTAAGCACTGTACCTTGGCTGGAGCTTAAAGGTGGCGATGAGAATCTAATTTCACAAATCTAATATATTATATATAAAAATAGTGTTAAAATTGTTTTCACATTTCAATAATTATTATAGAAACAAATTACCTGTAATGTTCTTCTTTCATAAGGTTTTCCAGACGTTAATAATTTTGCATAATATTCCACATATCGCCTTTGGGACGGTATCGTAACACCTTTTTTATCTTTTGTACGCTTTTCATCATAATAACTAAGTGCTTCATCTGCAGTTCTTGCAAATCCACATTGCAATAAATAACAACAAATCATAGTGCCTAAGATATATTAAATATTTTTGATTTCATTATAAAAATTTAGTTTTTTATTTTATATTTACCAGTTCGTCCTTTACCCGCCTTACAATGCACAGCCGCCACGTTTCTTTCATCTCCCTTCAACCAGCTATTTATATCATCACAGAATTTTTGCATGAGTTCAATTGTAGGTGGATTATGATCAGCAAATGGAAATACGGCCACCCTCTGAAATAATTGAAAGAAAATTGTAATTTCTTTAATTTTCTTAAATTTTAACTTAAATTAATGTTGAAATGCATTTTTATATAAAGTTATAAAAAAGAAAGCAGGAAAATGAAAAGTCTAATACAAAATGGCTTTTTTTTTGGAAATTTTAAGAGTTTATCAAGGATCATGTTCTAATAATGATAATATATAAGGTTCATAAATTAAAGGCAATTTCTCCTGTTAATATTTCTTGGGAATCCAACAAAATATCATTGATGTATACGTGGGATCTCAAAGGTTTTGTGAATGAAAATTTACCTATTCCATTATAATAGTTACATTGTTTAATACTATTTTAAAATTTTCTTTACTTGTTTAATAAACTAGACACTATTTCAACTGAAACCAACTTTAATAACATTAATACATTTTATAAATTCAAATTCAATATATTTCTATATAAAAACGAGAGTATGATTAAAAATATTTAATAATTTAAGAAGAACATATATTAAAATAAAAGCCCTTGACTTTCAATAAGGATTTAAAAAACAAAAAATGAAACAAAAGAAAAGAAAACTTTATTCAATCATAATAATTTTTATAACTTATTAAATATTAAAATATTCTAATAATAAGAATTAATAAAAATTTTTCTTTAAAATACCAAAATCATTTAACACATTTTTTATTAAAAAAACATAAATAAATACTTTTGACCTCGATTGTTTTATTATCCTGATAAATTTATTTATTTTAGGAACAGTTTGCAAAACATATATATATATATATATATATATATATATATATATATATATATATAAATGTATGGTATTTAGAGTAAAGAAACATTACGCGTGAATTAAATTCTTTTTCTCTTTTTTTTTTTTATTTTATTAATAACTAGTGTTTGCTAGAATGTCTTTTTTTTTAATTGTTATCAGTCCAGTGTCATTGATACTTTAATAATTAGTTATGATAACAACACAATGTTCAAAATTATAGATTTTATTATAAGTAGAACCAGTTTTTTTTTTTTATTTTAATTCAACTATTTTTAAGTTGTAAGATAAAATTAAATGATTTATTTAATATGCTTTAAGGGGATTAGAATGCAATGGAAGCAGATTTTAAAATTTTTCAAAGTATATTCAATATTTTTTTTATATTTATGTATTTTTAGGACTTAAATTTGGTTGTCAAACACAGACTGTTTTTTTTTTCAAATATAGTATCAATATAATTCATTTAATATGAATTTTATATAAAATTATTAATAATGTCCAAAATTAAATCATATTATAAAATTTATTCAAAATATTAAAAAAAGAATTTTACATCTTTTGAACAATGCCATTTTTATAATTCGGGATTTCTTAATGCTTAATTATGCTATTTTATCTCTAAAACTTTTTGACTTATATTTGTGAAATTCTAAAAATTATTTCAAATTTGTATTTTGTACAAATGTTTCACCGAACAATAATTGCTTTATTATCTAGAGAAAAATATTTTAATAGTTATACACGAATAAAATTTTAATTAATTACAGTAATGAACTTCTTAATTCTATAGTTTTTATAGAAATTTACTTTATAAACAAAAAATTATTGTAAATTTAGGCAAATGATTGTTTTATGAAATTGACTTGATAAATTGGTAAAATTTCAAATTTGTATAAAACTCTAATACGTATTTTATTTCTCTTGTCAAGATTTATTTAAATATTGATTATACATGTATATAAATTAGTAATTAATATAATAAATAAATTATTAAATTTCTTTACTTACCCCATGAAATGTACTTATATCATAATTACGCTCCGAACATAAATTATAAATTTTATAATGATCTTTATGATTTTCTTCTAAAAATTTTACAACATCATCTATGTGATTCCTATACCATTTTTCAATATTTGCAGCGGGATATCCCATTGCTATTATATTGTCACATATGTCTAAAAAAAAAAAAAACAAAAATTAAGACAAAAGATTAGTTTATTTTCTATTATTGGATAAAATAATGTATTTAAAAATTATATATTTTATATTATTAATAATATAATATATTTTAATTGATTCTTTTATAGTTATTTATTATTAACTAAATATAAATAATGAAACATGATAAATTCTCATATAATATATAAATCAAAAACCAGCAAAAACTAAAATTAAAATTTAAAATTAATAATAACTACATTAAAAGTAAATATTAGTGAAGATATTTTATTGCTATAAATATTTTATTATTGATATAACAAATATAGTTATTTTATTGAACTTAATTTGTTTTCATTTTACATATAGCAAAAAATAGAAGTAGCCAATTTGACGACAATTTTGTTTACTTTAGTTTGTGATAACAATTTATTTAAATACAAGTTTATTATTTGAGATTAATATTAATTTCTACTATCATAATTTTGTACTATTTTTTGTAATATAATTCTTAAGTTGAATATTCTATATTTAATATTTTAAGTTAAAAATATTTTTTATAAAAATTTGCAAATTATGCAAATATTATAAATTTTTTTCGGTTTTTTGAACATTTTATTGGCTAATGCCATGGTATTTTAAAAAATCAAAATTAATAAAAAATATTCTTGCAACTATACATAAAATTTTTAATTATTTGAATATTTTTTAAGTGTATTTATTTATTTAGATAAATAAATACTACTGTCATTATAAATTTTTTTTTTTTTGTTTTACTTACATGACAAATCTAAATCATAACCATTCGCAACATATCGTTTTCTTTGTTTACTGACAACATTTCTAATAACATTTGTAATTGTATTTGCCATTTTTGATGGACTTTTTTCTGTTGTACACATAAATATTGAACGAAAAATTTTACAAGTACTTGTATTATTAAAGCAATTTAAAGCTTTTAATTTATTATTTCTTTCTATTTCACGTGATGATGTTAATGACGGTGATGACGACGGTGATCTTGATAAAACTGTTGATGCTGAAGAAGATGATGATAATGATGATGATGTTGTTGTTGTTGTTGTTGTAGATGATGGAAACGATGATGATGTTTTTATTGTTGGTAATTTTATTAATTTCAATACTTTACAACTATTACTATTATTACTATTAATATTATTATTTTTATTATTATAATTACTGTTGTTATTATTATTATTATTTTTATTATTATAATTAATGTTATTATTATTTTTATTAATATTTTTCTTAAAACTATAATTATTATTGTTGTTATTACTGTTATTATTGTTATTATTATTATTATTATTATTATTAATAATAATTTTATTATTAATTATATTATTATATTTCTTGTTAAAGTTGTTAATACAAGTAATTTTGATTTCTTCTTTTTTAAGTGTACACATAAAGAATTATTTTATTTGATTAATTTTTATGCCCAGTGTTCTTTAATTTGTTTTTTTTTTTTAAGATTTTAAGATATTTATTCAATCTTTATTTATAATATTTTGTTTTCTTTATACATTTAGTAAATTTAAAAATTTTGAAGACAATATTGGCTTCTTATGATTTCAAAACAAAAACAAAAAAAAAAACAAAGAAATTTTTTTTATGTATTTTCTTCTTTTTATAATTATTTGTTTTTAATCCAGAATATTATGATTTTCTCTTCTTTGATTTTTTAATAAGCAAGATAGTAACTTTTTTAAAATAATTTAAAATATATAGATTTATATATATATAATTATATGCAAGCACATAAATATGAATATATACAATGTATATATATATATATGTGTGTGTAAGAGTTTTTATTTGGAAAAATTGTTATATTAAAAGTAGTTTTTATTTTTGTTATTAGCTTTTCTTTTAATTTTATTTATTACGGATATAATAATATTATTATGTATAGATAAAGTTTTTTTTTCTCCTTAAAAACGAATGTTCTTCTTTTTCTTCTTTATATAGAGATTTTCTTTTTCTACTTCTTCTACTTCTTTGTTTTTTTTCCTTCTTCTTTTATTTTCTTGTTGTAAGTAAAGTGGTATTCTTTTTAAAATTCCTTTTTTCTCTTTTTCTCCCTCTCTCTCTCTCTCTCTCTTTCTTTTTTCCCTCGTCTATTTTTTTCTCTTTTATTTTTTTTTTTTTAATTTGTTTATGTATGTTCAAATTTTTGAAACTGGAAGTCACTTATTTACGAGTGTTTTATAAAATCACAGTTAAAGTTTTCTATTTAAATTTAATATATAATTTGTGAAGATATATTATATATTTATATATTATAGTTGAAATGTTTTCAATGAAAATTCCTTTTGTTCTCTTCATTTATTTTAATTATTTATTTATATATACATATATGTATATATGTATATATGTTTTTGTAGTATTTTTTTTTTCTTCTATTTTTAATATTGTTTTATATATTTAAATCATCCCTTAGTTCATTAGTTAGTTTTTTTTTAACTAATCTGTATTTTGGTACAAAATGGAATAAAATTGTATAAAATTTGTATGAACTATGACTATTATTATGTTTTGATTTCTTCTTATAAGCTGTCATCCTTTTTTTTTCTTTTTTATACTTTATGAATATAATAAGGTTGAATATATGTAAACGCATATATATATATTTATATGTTTATCCATGTGTAGTATTAATTAATTAATTTATATCCTATTTTGTTTATTTTATTTTGTTTCTTTCTTGTTTTTTGAAAATTTTTTTTTTTAAATATTAAGGAATATGTTTAAATCGTTTTCTTTCATCTTTCTTTTTTTTTTTTTAATTTGTATTCTTCTTTCGTTAAGTATAAGTAAATGTGTAGATATTTTTATATTATCATTTATGTAATTCAAATTTTTATATAAAAATTAGCATTTCATTTTATATACTATATAGTTGCATAAAAGAACAAAATTAAGAAAAAGAACCATTTTGTTTTTTTTTTGTTTTTCAATTATTCCTTTTTATAAAAGTAATTTGATAATTCTTCTTCTTCTCTTTAATTTGATTTTAATCAATTAATGTGAAATTGCGTTAAAATGAGAAACATAAGGATAATACATAATAACAAACTAAGTAAGTAAGATGATGATAATGCGATGATGATTTACTCGTCACTGGGAATTCATCAAAAAATCAAGAAAAAAAAAATAAATAAATATTATTAACGTTGAGAATTTAGAAAAGCAAAAAAAGATTTGAAAATACGAAAGTATCTTTGTGCAATGTAGATTATTCCTTTTATTTCTGTTTTCTTTTTGTTTTTATTCTTCTACAATAAATGTGTTTTAATAGATTGTGTCCTTCCTCTTGATGATTATGATGATATTTTTTTTTTATTATTATTAAAAAATGTTGACTGCAAGCAAAATCACAAATTTTTTTTTTTTTATAAAATTTGAACTTTATAAATTTTTTTGTATTAAGTGTTAAAATTTGCGTTATTTAATATTTTAAATATATATTAGGAATTCTTTAGCTCCGCTAACTTCCTTTGATGCTTAACTAAAATGAGATAAAAAAAAAGATAAAAAAGAAATTAGAAAAAATAATTTTTGTTTTCATAAAAATTTATAATTATATGTATTTTTGGATATAACATAATTTTACTATTTGCATAATGAGACCTTATACCTACATATTAAAAAAAAGAATCTTGTTTTTATTTCTACGGATTTGCAAAGATTTATAATAAGAAATAAGTAGACGCACAGACAGGTTAGCTGACATAAAAAATATAGAAACTAACTTAAAATGTGCTAATCTGACAAATCAAGCTGATTAATGTTGCTTTTAATTCAAATTATATAATTTTTTTTTTTAAAAATATGTATGATGTTGAGAATTTTCGAAAATTCAGTACTAACTTAGATCTTAATATAAAAAAGTAAGTTCAATAAATCAAAAACTGCTAAATCTTTAAATGTTGCATGTTCGATTAATCCTTAGAATAAAAGAAGTAAGTTCGAAAATCGTAGGATGCTTAAAGATTTTGCTGTAGAAATATTTTTTGTTTAAAAAAGAAAAAAAAAAACATAAAAGTGTAAGTTATTAAAAATTTGTAAAAATATACCAGTTAGTTCCTTTAGATTTGTAATGATGCCAAAAAAAAAAAAAAAAGATATTCAAAGTATGAGAATTTTAAGTCCACATTATTTAAAACAACGTTTATCACATTCATTGCTTAATATGCATATGCAATAACATTCGAGAATTATCAAAACCAAATGACTCTACAAAACAATTTATATAACGCATTTACAAAAGATATATATATATGTATATATACAATAAGTGATTGTATAGATTTATATGACCGGTAAGACAATTGATCTAAAACCTTAAAAATAAAACAATCTAGTTTACCTTTAATTAAATTGAAAAGCAATTTTTTTTGAAAATCTTTACTTATAAAAAAAAAATATATGTTTAATTAACTAAAAATTCACTATGTACAAATTAATATTTGAATATAAAGATGCAATAACATACATATATCTATAAAAGTATGTATAACTGCACTAACAATATACATTAATATTTTATATAAAGACCTCTTAGTTTTACTAATTGCATGTATCTATGATCTACATGAATATAATAATTTTATATAACATTATATAAATTATTTAAATATATAACTGACTACATATATTATAGAAAAAAAAAACAGAACAATACGAATACTGTCATAATATGTCATGTACTTATAGATAATATATAACGGTTTGGAAATTTTGCACCAATTTTTTAATAATATGAAAATTTTTGCCTGTACGTTGAATTTATCACGTTCTCCCATTTATTAAAACAAAAATTTTTTAATTATAAATTCAATGAATAAAATAAATAATAAATAAGTAAATAAATAAATATATATAAGCAATTATGTATTTCAATTTCTAAAATAAATTTAATAGAATAAAATTTTTGTTTAAAAGCAAATAATTAAATAAAATCATTAAACAAAAAAAAATGGAAAAAAAATTTTTGAAATATTTTCTCAAAACCGATTTTAATTATTAGTTTCATTTTTTTTTTCTAATAATCTTTTAGTACAAATAATAATTTTAATATTATTTTAATACAAATAAAGACTTTATTAAATAAAAGAAAGTCAAAAAAAAACCAAAAATCTGAGTAAGTATTTGATTAATATTTTCAATATTTTTTTATACCTACAATTTAAAAATGAATAAATTTAAACTTGTTCAATAATTTTAATTAATTTAGAATGTACAAATCTTTTAAAATTTTTGTGTTATAATTTCTAATTTAATAAATAAGAAAAATGGTGCCTATGATGAAGTTTCAAGTAATTTATGTTCTAACTAAATATTTTCAATATTGGGCCTTCATAATTATACAATATAGTAGCTCTTTCTAGATACTTCAGAACATTTTAGAATTTAGATGCACAAGTAATTAACTTTCACTAATACATTTTGTAAAGAAAAGTAAAATACTACTATGTCATTTTAATTGATCTCTAACAATTTGTGTGTATTTCATCGAAACTGTATTTGCTTTTTGAAAATAAAAGAAATTCATTTAATTTTTAAAATAAAATATTTGTATAATAATTATTCAAAATTGGTTTTCAAAATAATTAATAAGTAAAAGAAAGGTACTTATTCGCATTCAATCTTTGTAAAATAGTACATATATCTTAGTAAAATGTATAAGTAAGATAAATAATGAAGTTGTTCTACAAATAAAGTAATTCTATTAAATTCTAGTGTTCCGTTGTAGAAACTGCTTCCGCTACGACACTAAATTCCGTTGCCCCAAGTTACGTCACGAAACGTAACGTAACCTGACGAAACGTGGCGTAACGTAACATCACGCCATGCCACAACACGTCACGTCACGTCACGTCACATCACGTCACGTCCTATCACATCATGTCGAATAACACATTATGTTTGTGTTATGATTACATTATATACTCTTTTTGAGGATCTTAGTGTGGCTTTTATCACTAGGGTAAATATAGACATAGATAAATTCGACACAAAATTCAATATTGAAGAAAAATATTCAGAGATACAAAACAAAACCCTACGAACCTAAAATTCGTACGACTATAGAAGTAATATTAATTCATTAAAATAATTTACCACATATCTATCATAAATAAAATTTTTAAGGTTCTCTCTCATATAAATATTGAACAAGCTAATGTTTATTATCGAAAAATGAATTTATTTTTCTTTTACGTGATTTTTTTAAAATCATGGGGTTAAATTTATTATAAGGAATCCTTCTAGAACAAATCAGAATAATAATTGC